GAGGTACATGACAATAATCTCAGCTACCTGGGTGACTGAGGCAGGAGGATCACAAGTTCAAGGCCAATCTAGACAACTTAGCAAGACTCTGTCTGAAAATAAAAAATAATAATAATCTAGCATATTTCAAATGGAGGGGAATGTAGTTCAGTGGTACACACCAGTGGTTCGACCCCCAGTACTCCAGCCACCAGTAACAAAAAGGAAAAAGAAAAACTTCCTTTAACGTTTCTTACAATGTTGGCCTACTATCAACAAATTCATTCAACCTCTATTCAATCAAGAAAATCTTTATTTTTCCTTCATATTTAAGGAATCATTTTGCAAGGTACAAAGTTACAGGGTTAGTAGAATTTTTCTCTCAACACTTGAAATATTTCAATTTTTTCTGTCTGAATGTTATCTGAGAAAATGTTCAATGTAATTCTTATCTTTATATTTAATTCTTACCTTTATAGGTAAGGTGTTTTTGCCCTCTTTGACTTCTCAGAATTTTCCTTTTTTGGAGCTACAGGCTGAACCCAGGTGTGCTTAACCATTGAGCCATATCCCCAGCCCTTTTTAAATTTCGAGATAGAGTCTCACTAAATTGCTTAAAGCTTGCTCAATTGCCCAGGCTCGCCTTGAACATGAACACGCAATCCTACTTTAGACTCACAGGTAGCTGGAATCACAGGTGTGTGCCACCAGGCCTGGCCTGCTGGAGTTTTTATCAAAGTCAATTTAACAAGATCTGGTTCCAAAATAAAAATTTTTAAAAGGGCAGAGGATGCAGCTCGGTTGTACAGCATGCTTACCTGACACGTGCAAGGCTCTGGGCTTAATCCTCAGTACAATTAAATACACACATACAGTTTAAGGTTTGCTTAAATAGTTTCCTCCAAGGACAGATTAAGAACACATTAATCTAGCATATTTCAAAATGTTACTTTTCCTCTCCCCTTGCCAGACCCATGAGGGGATTTTCTCTAATATTTATCATGACAACCTGATCAAGGTTTGGAGGTAATATTCAGAAAAGTAGGATCACCCTGCAACTATGATCTCACTAAGTTTTTGTCCCTCAGACTTTTCCATAACAAACCTTTAGCAAAAGTCAAAAACTGTCTAGGTTTTCCAGTGTGGCACTAATTCCCACAGAGGTTTTGTTCAAGAGTTCCTGTTTTGATCAGCTGTGATTTCCTGTTCTTTTTGTCTTTCCAATTTTGGGAACAGCCATGTGACTTTAATTTTCTTAGTGTCCTAAGATTAGCTGATTTCTTAGTTGGTTCAGCTTTTTACATGTCACAATGAAGAAGTAATTTCTAAACTCCTTAACATGCCTGACTGGAAACCAGTTATTTCTATTAATATTCAGTTCTACTAAAGATGAAGCTGGAGAAATTCTGTTCCTTACTCTTTCATTCATTCACTATGATGAAAGGCTTTAAGCTTAGCATGGTGGTAAATGACAATAATCCCAATAGGAAACTATATCACATTCTTGCTGTCCTTCAGTTTTAGTCATTAAAATACAATGAAGATGACTCAGTCACAAAGAAGAATGAAATAACAGCATTTGCCAGTAAATGGATGGAACTGGAGAATACCATGCTAAGTGAAATAAGCCAATCCCCCCAAAAAATCAAAGGCCAAATGTTCTCTCTGGTATGTGGAAGCTAACCCAAAACAAGCGAGGGTGGAGAGGAAAAGAACAAAATCCATTCCCTTTTGTCTAAAAGTGTTTTGAATGAAGGAAGAGCCAACCACCACATGGAAGAAAATCTGATGCAACAGAAGAAAATAACCTGAAGGGGAATATAAGTACATGAAAAAATGCTCACCATCTCTAGCAGTCAGAGAAATGCAAATCAAAACCACCCTAAGATACCATCTCACTCCAGTAAGATTGGCAGCCATTATGAAGTCAAACAACAATAAGTGCTGGCGAGGATGTGGGGAAAAGGGTACACTTGTTGGTGGGACTGCAAATTGGTGCAGCCAATTTGGAAAGCAGTATGGAGATTTCTTGGAAAGCTGGGAATGGAACCACCATTTGACCCAGCTATTCCCCTTCTCGGTCTATTCCCTAAAGACCTAAAAAGAGCACGCTACAGGGACACTGCTACATCGATGTTCATAGCAGCACAATTCACAATAGCAAGACTGTGGAACCAATCTAGATGCCCTTCAATAGACGAATGGATAAAAAAAAAGGGACATTTATACACAATGGAGTATTACTCTGCATTAAAAAATGACAAAATCATAGAATTTGGTGGGAAATGGATGGCATTAGAGCAGATTATGCTAAGCGAAGCTAGCCAAGCCCTAAAAAACAAATGCCAAATGTCTTCTTTGATATAAGGAGAGTAACTAAGAACAGACTAGGGAAGAAGAGCACGAGAAGAAGACCAACATTAAACAAGGATGAGAGGTGGGAGGGAAAGGGAGAGAGAAGGGAAATTGCATGGAAATGGAAGGAGATCCTCAGGGTTATACAAAATTACATACAAGAGGAAGTGAGGGGAAAAGGAAAAATAATACAAGGGGGAGGAATGAATTACAGTAGTGGGGGTAGAGAGAGAAGAGGGGAGGGGAGGGGAGGGGAGGGGGGATAGTAGAGGATAGGAAAGGCAGCAGAATACAACAGACATGAGTATATCAATATGTAAATCAATGGAAGTGTAACTGATGGGATTCTGCAAGCTGTATATGGGGTAAAATGGGAGTTCATAACCCACTTGAATCAAAATGTGAAATATGATATATCAAGAACTATGTAATGTTTTGAACAACCAACAATAAAAAAACAAGAAAAAAAAATATATATATATACACACTTGTTAAAGGAGAAGAAAGAAAAAGCTGCTCCACTGAAAATATTAAGATTGGAAAAAATTAGACATAAAATCAGCAAGCATACAGAAGAATTTAACAATTCTACCAGACAAAAAAATCTAAACACTTATAAAACACTTATAATAACCACAAAATAGGAGAACATACTTTTTTTTCAACTTATGTCATATAATCAAGTATATCATACAGAACATATACCAACATAAACCATATCCTGGACTATAAAACAAACCTCAAAAAAAAATTTAAGAACTGAAATTTTTTTTCTCTAATATAATTCAACACAATGGAATTACAGTAGGGATCATTAACAAAGATAACAAGAAACTCTAACAGCACATTTCTAAATAATCCATAGGTCAAAGAGGAAGTCTCAAAGGAAAATGAAAATAAAAAAACAAAATGTGTGGGACATAGCAACACTGATTGAAATTTATATCACTAAATAAGAGGGAAATTATCAAAAAATCTAAGCTCCCACACAAAGAAACTAAAAAATAGTAAACTAAACCCAAAGCAAGAAAAAGATAATAATAAAGAACAGAAAAAAATGAAATTTGAAATCAAAAAGTAACAGAAAAATGAACAAAAGAAAAATCAATGTTCTTGTTTTTTGGTGGAGGTCAATAAAACTAACAAATTTCTAACAAGACTGTCAAAAACAAAAAAGGAGAATATACTATCAATAAGAGCAATTAAATAGGGACTATCAATATAGACCCCACAGATAAATAAATAAAAAGGGAAAACGATAAACAACTGTATACACAAAATTAACATGTTAGATGAAATGGACCAATGTCTTGATACATATAAACACATACTATTGCAATTTAGCCAATATAAAATATATCATTTGAACTACCCCATAATCATTAACCTATTAAAGTCCTAAGATTTCAGTTCTGTAAATATTTCAATGAAACTGGCACGGGTGTATTAAATATATTAAAAGTTATAATCTAGAAGTTATACATTCTTTATTATCATTAAAAATGAAAATACAGGGCTGGGGTTGTGGCTCAGTGGTAGAGCACTTGCTTATCTAGCATGTGTGAGGCACTGGGTTAGATTCTCAGCATCACATATAAATAAATTTTTTTAAAAAATGAAAATACAGATTGTTCTATAAATAGAGCACTGGAACAACACAGTACCTTTTACTACATTTAGAAGCCATTCTATAAATAGAACATCCGGCAAATAAATATCCTTTCACACTTCACGCAATACGTAAAAACCAGGTCAACAATTAATTTTGATGGAAAGGAGCAAATTACTTCAAACATAGGGTTACATTATTGACAATATGTTGGTGGTTTCACATAATAGAATTTATTCTGTCATCATCATTGTTCTTGCAATTCAGGAGCATGGCTGCTCATGTTAAATCTGATATCACTGTGGGAGTAGTAGGTCTGGAAGTATTACATTTTTTTCCTCCTGATGGTTTCTGACTGCATCATTTTAGGTATACTAACTGCATCATTTTAGGCATACTCTACGGAAATACAACAAACTCATGAGATCTTGTCTTTGTTCACAAATGTTTGAATAATCCATGCACTTAGGATACACACACCAATTATTCAAGTGAATAAAGTGAATCAGTTTTTAGCTTTAATAAAAGGGGGCTATTAGAAACAAACCAAATGTATTCATTCTCACCACCACTACCTTTGGTTAAGGTACACTGACTTTACTCTATTTCTCTATAATTGAACTTTGCCAAATGATCACACTATATTGTTTTTAATCCAATAGTGACACATTTTAAAATCTATCCATTTTAAAATAAGAATTTCATTATTTGTGTCAAATCTGTAACCATAGGAACCTCAGACCTGTTTTTTCATCAATGTTGTTGGTTTCAGCAGGTAATTGTCTAGTCTGTTTCCTTAGTGGTGCCTGTAGCCTAGAATCCAATATTTCACAGGTGTAACAAGTCATAACCAATGAATAGATTGTTGGAAAAAACAGAGTGTGATTGTGGATTCTCTACTACTTCGAGCCTATGTAGAATTACCTTACTCCCAAGCAAAGAATTATCAATGGGTTCTTCTCAAGCACTTTTCCCACAATGTAAGTCAAAGTTAAGCAATATCCTGATACTTCACATAGTGCCCAGAATTTAAAACCACATCTTACTAAGAGCTTACCTCTTATAAACTGTTTCAGCAAACTGGGTCCATGATATCTGATAACCATTTCATCCACTGTCAAACATTCTTCAAAGATACCAAAGTTCATGCATGATTTTTGTATCTTATTTATTAGAAGATGAATTTTAAAACCTTTATCTTCAAAATTCTCTTGCCATTCATTATTGTTGCAAAAATGTATGGTACTTTTCAGCTCCTGGAAATGATTTCTTGACACTGCATTTTTGATGCATATACCCAAATCTTCATCATTTGACCAGTACCTTCTTATGGAGGGTAGCTTATGATAACCTGAAAACATAAGAATTCCTAAAAATGTTTTTAACATCTATACTACATACTTCAAATTTATTCTTACTTTCTGAACAGTGGACATTGACCATTTCCGGTATCAATAGTTCTTCAAAAATCTCCATCAAGCTGTAATTTGCCAATGAATTCCTCATTTTCCCTAAGCAGTAAAAAATAAGTGCTTTCTCTAAAATACTTTCTTTCTTTCTTTCTTTCACTTTTTGGTACTAGGGATTGAATCCACCGGTGCTCATTATCACTGAAGTATATCCCCAACCCCCTTTATTTTGAGGCAGGGTCTCACTAAGTTCCCCGGCTGATCTTGAACTTGAGATCCTTCTGCCTCATTCTTCAAAGTTGGAAATACAGTCTTGGACCACCATACTCAGCTCTAATATGTTCTTTAGAGTAAGAAAACATAGGTCATACTTGTCAATTAAAAAAAATAATAAGTAATAACACATTAAAGTTTGTCACCAGCAGTGCAGAATACTACTATACATTGTCCCAGTGTACTATTTATAGGACAGCTATGTTTGAACATTGATATTTGAAACACAGGGCATTCCTCAAAATAGAAATAACAAGCACAGTACTAGAAAATACTTTCATAAATGCAATTCTTATATTACATATCAGTTATGTACATATATTTTGTTAAACTGAACAGTAGTAACTTTTATAGTATTGTTTATACAATCTTCACAATGAATTCTAAAAATATTTTCAAACACTCTAGTCATTTACTTTTACTATTCTCAAAAGTACAGAAATCCCAAAACATAATTAAAGTTCCTAAAAATGGTATATTTGTTGTTCAATTTAAGTTTTTAATAGGTGTTACACACCTGGGACAATGGAACAAAGTGGGATAAAGAAACTGGAAAAAAAAGAAAAGAAAAAGAAAGAAATCTCTTTCCCAATTGGTTTCACTGTAGCACCTTATCAAACATTTAAAGAAATAATACTGGTGCTACACAATGCTTCTAGAAAATACAAGAGATGAAAATTTATCAAATATTAGCCTTAAATCACAAACAGAAAAAGGTTGAACCAAACAAAAACAAGACCCAAATGATAGTCTTCATGAGTTTAAACAGAAAACAAAAAAAGCAACATATAAAAAGAATTTTAAATTATAACTTTAGAGGGTTTATTCTAGGGATACAAGGAAGGTTCAATATTCAAAAATCAACTATGAGTTTAAAAAACATAAAAAAAATAAATTTGTATTCAATACACATTAACAGCTTAATATCTATCAACTTATACAGAAAAAGAATTTGACAAAATTCAACACCCATTCATTAACAAAACTATCAAAAACCTTGGAAGAAAGGGGAACTTCCTCAACTATATAGCTAACATGGAAAAATGAAAAAACATTAAATGTTTTCCTTCTAAAACTGAAAACGGCAGAGATGTCTGCTCCCACACTGCTATTCAACAAAGTACTAGAAGTTCTATCCAGGGCAAAAAAGAATAAAAGGCATACTGAAAGGAAAAGAACAAATAAAGCTGTCACTTTTTGCAAATGTCAAGTTAGTCTACATACAGTCCTAAGGAATCAACAAAACGCAAAAGCAAAATCCAAAACAATACTTATTAGCTACAACTAATAAATTAGGTTTAGCAAGGTAACAATATATAATTTCAACATATAAAAATCAATAGTATTTCTGTATATTAGAAATGAACATACACAAGTACAATTTAAAACACAACACCAAATACTTGGCTACCATCTCTCAAAAACACCAAATATTAACAACAAACCTAATAAAACATACATGGGACTTCTAGATTAAAAGATTTTATAAAACACAGAAAAAAAGATCTAAATTTTATGCAAGTTTAACACAATTCCTGTAGACAGGGTTATTCTAAAGTTTATAGAAACGAGAATAACTAAATCCCAATTTTGAAAAAGATTCAAACATAAGGAAATCACTGATTTCATGATTACATAACTACATTTAGACGCTATGGGACTGGCAGAGGGAAACACAAATGGATCGCTCAAACAGAATGAGCCCAATACAAGTACAGCCAATAGAGTTTTTACAAATGTGCAAAAGCAATCAAATGGAGAAAGGCTATCTTTTCAACAAATGGTACTAAAGCAAATGAAGGAACCTGACCTAAACTTCAAACCTTATTGTATAAATCAACTCATCGTGGATTTAAATGCATAAAGTTTTGGAGAAAAAAAGATGAAATTTTTTAAAGACCTAGAACTTGATGAAGAGTTCTCAAACTTCAAAAACATGAGGCACAAAAGAACAAAAATTGATAAACTAAACTTCATCAAAATTATAAAATTTTACTGTAAGACTCTATTTAAGAGGATGAAAGGACCAGCTACAGATTGGGAGAAAATACCTTAAATCACATATTTGACAGAGGAGTCACATTTAGAATATATTAAGAACTCTCAAAACTCAACAGTAAGAACCAAAAAAATCTAATTAGCAAATGGGCAAAAGACATGAAGAAACATTTTACAGAAGAGGAGAAAGGGATGGTATATAAGAATTTGAAAAGATGTTCAATATCAGCAACCATGAGGTTGTGTAGTTGTGTAGTTTGAGTTCATGCAAAATAAGACTGCATGAACTCAAACTACACAACTAGTAGAAGAGAAAATAGAATTCTAACTGTTGATGAAGATGCAAAGAAACTGGATTGCTCCTTCACTGCTGCAAATGTAAAATGGTTCAGCCATTCTGAAAAATCTTTTAACAGTTTCTTGAAAATCTAAATATATACTTCCCAGATAATCCAACAATTACACTTCTGGCATTTATCCCAGAGATATGAAAACTGTGTTCAAACAAAAATCTACACATGGCTGTCCATAGAAGATTTAGATGTAACATGAAAAACCAGGAAGAACAAATGTATCCTACAACAGATGGTTAAATGAACTGTGATACATCCATACCACTGAACACTATCAGCAATAAAAAGGAACTTAGATTACTGGGAACAACATGGATGATTCTCCAGGTCACTATAGTGAGTGAAAAAAAATAATTTTTAAAAAATCATATACTATATGATTCTATTTATGAACCATTCTTGAAATGACAATATAGAGATAGAGAACAGATTAGTGACTAACAGCACCTAGGGTTTTGGGGGAAAGAATATGTGGTAGTAGACTGGTTCTGTCCTTGGCAGTGGTAGTTACACAAACCTACAATGAGGAACTAGAAGGTTTTGATATTATACTATAGATATGTAACATATAAATAATGAGAAAATCAAGTGAGGGATATACAGGATCTTTGCAAATTCTTGTGAATCCATAATTATATAAGGAAGTATATAAATTTTTCAAAATCTTGGGGGACACATTAAGAAAAAAACATCAACAACAAAATGAAGACAGGGAAAGCTGATGGCTTCCAGACTTCTTTATCACTGTATTACTGTTACTTAAAAAAAAAAAAAAAAAAAAAAAAAAAAAAAAAAAAAAAGTTGAGTTAAAGCACAAGATACTCTAACTATAAAAATGTTAGGTATTGCTTGAGTTTGAAGATACTGATGAGTCACGCACTCTAGGTATAGACTTCTCAAAGCACCCTGGTCAGCTTTAGCATACTTCAATCGGCTACCAGTGAGAGGATAAACTGGTCCAAACTATATGGTCAACAAACGTATCACTAACAAAGTTGCAAATGTTTTTACCCTCTGGTCCAGCAATATAGTTTTATCCAGCATTTTTTAAATGAAACAGAATACGAAAAGGAAGCAACTGAGTACAGGATGCCTAGTAATGGTATTGTTTCAGATGTTTATGAGTACATATATGTATACTGGATGAGAATGCAGAGTTTTTGGTGGTATTAACAACTGATCTCAGGGCCTCCCACATGCTAGGTAAGCTCTCTATCCCTGAGCTACTTCCCCAGCCCACATAAAATAAATTTCTTACTATAGGTTGCCATCAAAGAAGCTTAGAAGCTGCCATTTCAGCTTCAAAAAGAAAACCTGAGGCAAAGGTGAAATGCTGACACTGAGAAGGGAGCATATAATGCCAGACTAGGAGTAGAGTGTGAACTGGGCATGGTGGCACACACCTATAATCCAAGTTACTTGAGAGACTGAGGAAGAAAGGTCACAAATATAAGTCAGCTTGGGCAACTTAGCCAGATTCTCTCAAAAGAAAAGAGTTGGGGATGTGGATCAGTGGTAGAATGCTTGCCTAGAATCCATGAGGACCTGGGTTTGATCCCCAGCCCTGGCCACACCCGCAAAAAAGAAAGCGAGTCGGAGAGGTAATTAATTGGCACACTCAGAACATATATTCAAATTCCCATCATCTTTCCCCTTTTCCTCCTGAAATTGTTAGTTGTTTCTAATTGTTAGTTGTTTGCTGTAGGTTAGCGCCTATAGCAAACTTGTCAATGAAGACTTTTCAGTCTTCTCAACTTAAAATTGTAACCCTGCTCGAATGAACTAAATGACTATTCCACCCCAAAATACACATGGTGAAATCTTAATCCTCAAAGCAATGGTATTAGGAGATGGGCTGGTGGGAGGTAATTAAAATGAGGCTGGCATCCTTATGAATGGGACTAGTGTCCTTATAAAAGAGATCCCAGAAAGCCCTCTAGACCCATTTTGGTCAAATTGGACACAGAGAAGATGGCTGTCAAGGAAGCAGGCTTTTTACCAAACATCAACTCTATTATCACCTTATCTTGCACTTTCTTCTCTCCAGAACTGTATGAAATGTTTGTTGTTTAAGCCACGTAGTCTGTTGGTATTTTTGTTACAGCAACTCAGAATGATTAAGACACCAGTCCTCTCCCCAATACACTCATATATTCCAATTCCTGACACCTTGATTTGGTGCTAATGCCTATGAAGCATATATTTAACTTGGCTTCTCAGTGCCTGGCTCTTAGCAGATACTCAATAAGTACTTGTTAAAGAAAAAAAATCCACTATTGAAAGTATACTCGAAAACCATAAAGCATACTTGCGAGAAA